GCATAAGACAAACACTACGCAGCGAGTCAAAGTACAGGTATGCCAATCCCTCGAAAGAAAAATATTGAATCTTCGAACATAGATCTTCCAATGATCCGAGTAGGCGTTCGAACAGAGACGCATGGGTTGATAGGATGTAGCAAGAGAGGCGAAGGGAGGATACATGCTCAGCAAGCGAAGGATTCCTGCGTAACGTCGAGATCAGCGCGCAAAACTTCCCTATTGTATAGATTGCGATGTTGGTATATAGAAGACTGATTCTTGCCTCATACCAGTCCTTGCAGACGAATATGAGTTGAAGTTTTGTCTTTGTATTAAGATTCCATGCAGATTGTGGCCTGCGGTCTGGGTCAAGAAGCATTCCGGGAACCATTGCGCGTAGAAATATTGAGCGAAGAATTTCCCAAGGGAGATGAGCTCGAGGTAGCTGAATAGGTCATGATAGATTAGCTGGGTATTTGAGCCATTTCAAGTGGCTCACCTACTCACCGTCGTTGGTACCGGTAATCCTCTATTCTCGGCCAACAAAAGTTCGTTCTCTTTTTTCAAACGGCTCAACCCTTCGATTTCAGCTTGTAAGGCAGCGTTCTCATTTTGTAACAGTTCAGATAAGTTAGTGAGCGCTTGAGTGCCCAGAGAAATAGCCTAGCTAGCTAGTCTTTTGAGAAGAGAATACTCGTTCTCATATACAGAAAGGCTAATACAGAAATGACTCAAGCACGATAGTCACGATCAGCTGGCTCACCAACTGGCTCATCGTCCACCCAAGTGACCCATACGACATCTTTGCAGGCCCTAGGGTAAACGCTCAGCACTGTCAAAATGGCAAGTGACACTAAAGGGGTCTATATAGATTTGTACTATTTTAACGTCACAAATTATTGAGTCTGCCTAGGGGAGACAACTAAAGGGTGCGGCCGGCTAATTTCAACATTATCACTTACAACGTGCAAATGGCTGTTGACTCCCTTTCCTCATTCTTAATATTCAAATATTCATCCCTGCCACCGGCCTCCCACCATACCAGAGAAGGAAAAAGGAAAAGGCGCATGACTAGCTAAAAGAGTACATGAATAGCTGTCCGGACAGGAATCAAACCTGTCTTGAGAGACAAACGCAAAGAGCGTCATCAGAATCGCCTGTGCTACTAGGCCTCTATACCACCCGACTGTTGTGTCCTTAGCGAAGATATCGTTGAGCTTTTACGACCCCCCTTTTCGATCCCGTTCTTGACCCTGCTAAATGTCCCAGCCCCACCGATACTCCTGCCCAACCTACAAACTCTACGATTTTTGAGATTCAAAAAAGACTGACGAGGTACAAGTGGAGGTAATCGGGTTGCATTGTTAATTCTCTGTCGAAGGGTAGTCATGCTCTCATACATACTCCTTAGTTCCACTGATAGATCCTGATTCCTCGACTGTATACTATAATGGATTTTCGCGCCTACGTTATCGATGGCTTGGTTGGTGCGTGATAGTGGTAGTCAGAAATGTTTCGCAATATACAGAATTACAATTGTTGATCTGAGATTTACTCTGAGGAGCCTTAGTCCGATGATTAAGCCTGTTCAGCGACACATTTGTTCAGGCCGCTCAATGTTTCGTCTTGACGATCGCGTCGATAAACGGCTCAACCACCTCGGTGGAATTTCGTCAGCTAGATCGTTATGCTCTGCTTATTGAGAATACCAGTCAAGGGACTGATTAATAGATACAGGAAAGGCCACAATACACTTACCGAAGCAAGGATTTGGTCTAATGAAATAAAGTACATTCGAAGAACGCATGTTCTAAGTACGTGAACTCGTACGAACAGTCTCAGCTGTATCTTCAATTTCAAGTCACAAGGGACTGTGTCGACCAACCTCCGCATTCGAATGAAGACTAAAAGAGCACCAAAGCCAGTATAGGTAATAGTAGAACGAAGAACGGGAATTTCGTGGAGTAAAAGGGTTTTATTTCAATGAAACAAGTGACCTGTTAGCACACATTAACACCTCTGTAAATTCAGGTAAGATGGCTTGCCACTATATGATGCACAATCTGCGCAATCTTTCCTACGAAGGAAATATTCATTTAGTAGATGCACACCTTGAGTATAGCACTTACCTAGCAACCATTTGCCTCAATATTGTCCAGCCATTTACCTGCATTGGATGTTATGAGTACTACACCGCGACAAGAATTAGTATAAAAGGGGGAGCCTTTGGCACAACAACTCCAAGCCTCGCTTCTCAACTCGAGTCTCACTTCGCTACACACTTATCCTCTCAGTTTTTCCAATACATTGCAAGATGCACTTCAACGCAGTCAAAGCTATCGTTTCGCTTGCATGCCTTTTGACCGCTGTTCAAGGTCTGGCCATCGAACGAAACGTTAAAGTTGGTTTAGTTTTGTTGTTACATCCCAAGCTATCGTACTCACGACGGAGATTCAGGAAATTGTTGAACGCAGGGATGACGCTCACCTGCCCGCTCATCCTATCCGACCGATTCATCCCATTGCTCCCGTTCATCCCGGCCACGGTATGTCTCTTGTTTTACATTTTAGCAAGTGCTGACGTGAAACTTTAGGGGGAAAGAGGGAGGACATGAGGGGGAACATTATCGTCGGGACGGTAAGTCCTGCTTTTTTTCGTTCGACTTGTGCCAAAATTGGTTCCGTAAAGATGAAGGAAAGGTTCAAGGCAATGGTCAAGGCAATAACGGTAAATAAATATTGCTCACATGGTATGGAAGGAGTATTGATGTTCTGCTGTCAGGCTACGGTGGGGGGAAGGGAGACGAAGGCAACAATGGTGGTAAGGATACTGCGATTGCCACTAATGTACACCGGCTAATAGAGTATCAGAACATAGCAATGGAAAGGGAGATGAAGGCAACGTTAGTGGTCAGTACACCCTGCGCTTGTTCCAATGATTCGCGCAATCTGATAGAGTATCAGGACACGGCAATGGCAAAGGCCGCAACGGTGGTAAATAACATTTGTTTATCACTCATCCGCACAAAATTTATATGATATCAGGGCAAGGCAAAGGAAACGGAGGCAAAGGCAGCGATGGTAGTAAGTGCCTCCTGTTTCCCACTCACCTACAAGATTGACAGATTACTAGGACCCGGAGGTCATATCAGCTATCGTGACGTAGACATTACCGATAACGGAAAACCTTCTGCTGGAAACCAAGGCCACGGCGGACAACCTTCAGGGAACCAGGGACATGGCGGACAGCCATCCTCTGGCAACAAGGGCCATGGAGGTCAGCCCTCTGGAAACCAAGGCCATGATGGAAAACCATCTGGAAATCAAGGACACGGCGGGAAGCCTTCTGGAAACCAAGGGCACGGCAACCAAACCTTCCGGAAACCAAGGACACGGCAAAGCCTAATCACCTAACGGCCCCTCGCAGGCCCCTCGCACTGTGTTTCTCTCCTGACTAGTGTAAAATATTTCTTCGTTGTTTGATTTGAATTGTTAGTAGTGTTTTGGTACGTCAGTACGAGTATTAGTTGTGATGTAAAACGATATTGTTTGGAAAATCTACCTTTTTTGTTACCGACCTCGGAGTTGTTAAACATTGATTTAGGCTAAGGTTTTAATTTTCCACAGGGTAGTGCAAAACTAAAAAGAACACTGGTGGTATTGTGAAAGCAAAGTTGTATGTATATACATGTAAATCCTGCCCGATGCGAGCATTGTGTAGCTTGGCAGTCAGAAACCAGCCCTACGCGCGCGCCATTTGATTAAAGTCGTTTCTTCATTGGCCTCAGACCATTCGTCGTCGTCGTCAGAGTATTTTTCGCAGTCGTCGTCATCTTCCTCCTCTTCGTCCAACTCTGACTCTGAGCCAGGGGTCCAATCTGAGCCAGGGGTCCAATCCGAACCACCGGAAGAAAAGTCAAGCTCATCTTCCGAGTCATAATCGCTCAAAGTGCGTCTATCCGCAGAGCTTGAGCCCGAGAGCGCAAAGGCGTTGCATCTGATATCAACCCCGGGAAAGTTGAAGCGACCTTCATCCATAGTTGGAGGCAAAAGGGCATATATCAGAGGTATATTAAGTAATTCAAAGTCAAGGGAGCGGTAGCGCTGTAAATTGGGAAACCGAACTTTGCGTTCTTCGCTTGAAGAAAGGACCAGCGTCTCATCCAGCGGCATATGACACTGTTCCACACTGAGAAAACAGTCAAGCCAAAGCACCTGTGGGGCTGAAACATCAAGGAACAGAGGTATAATAAGATGGCGAAGGTGCGAGAGTTTAGCGATCACCTCCTGACGAGTCAAAGAACAGGTATGCCAATCCCTCGAAAGAAAAACGCTGAATCTTCGAGCATAGATCTTCCAATGATCCGAGTAGGCGTTCGAACAGAGACGCATGGGTTGATAGGACGTAGCAAGAGAGGCGAAGGGAGGATACATGCTCAGCAAGCGGAGGATTCCTGCGTAACGTTGAGATCAGCGCGCAAAACTGCCCTATTGTATAGATTGCAATGTCTGTATATAGAAGACTGATTCCTGCCTCATACCAGTCCTTGCAGATGGATATGAGCTGGAGTATCGCCTTTGTATTGAGATTCCATGCAGATTGTGGCCTGCGGTCTGGTACAAGAAGCGTTTCGGGGGCCGTTGCGCGTAGAAATATTGAGTGAAGAATTTCCCAAGGAAGATGAGTTGACTGTGTGCGCGTTGGATTAATTAGATATGTAAGTCGATTCACTGGCTCACCGTCGTTGGTACCTGTGATCCTCTATTCTCGACCAACAAAAGTTCGTTTTCCATTTCCGAACAGCTGGTTTCTTTCTTCCACTCTACGATTTCAGCTTTTACGGAAGCATTCTCATTCTGTACCAGTTCGAATGAATTTGAGTTGCAAGACATGGAAAGTGAGCGCTTGAGTGCCCAGCGAAATGACTCAAGCACGATAGTGATCAGCTGGCTCATCGTCCATGTTCATAAAAATGGCTACCTCTAAAGGGGACGACTGGTCACCGGTCGCGTGAATAGTTAGCCCGCACGGAATCGAACCCGGATCCAGGAAACTAATGTCAACTATCACCGGAATTCGGCGTGCTAGCCTCTACACCACGGAGCAATTGTATGTGGTCCTATCAATAAACATCTCTCCTTCGAGATCAACGCGGCCACTATCTAAAATAACACTCATTCGTCGGAATGATATCCATATCCCAAAATATTCACAAGAGGGAACCAGCCCTTCGCTAGTGGCAGAGCTGTACTGTAGTCTTGCAAGGTCTTGTAAGTAAATATGTAACAACGGTCAGAGAATGGAACATGGTACTCTACGATGAATGTATCGCAGAGCAGAAGATCTATACTGTCTGGGGTCCCCTCGTTAGGCTTGTTACGGGGGAGTTATCAAGTGTTGAAGCTTGAAGTTTTGACCAAGTTTCAAGTAGTACTACACATCTGGACGCTTCAATGGGGAGAGAGAAAAAATCGACGATAATCTACACTTGCCAAGGTCCAGCCAGGACTCGAACCTGGGTCACGGGAAACCTACTCCTTCTGATCAGAATCCCGTGGATATGGATATGGATATGGATATGGATTACACGGCCCATTCAGCCTCAGCTGAAAGCGGTCCCCAAAGGGAACTAGCCGGTCCCTACACCAGCACAGGCAGCGAGCTCAACTCTCATGGAGAAGGTAGACTGCAAGGCCGATGCAGGGATGTTAGCAAGGCCAGGTACACAAGTACAAGGCTAGCTGTTACAACTACTGACTACCTATCTACTGCGCAATGGAGCACATTCCACCCCAATAAAAGAGAGGGAGGGTGATAGGGCAAAACCAGGTCTCCATGCAGGCGTAACCGCACTGTGGCCTTAAAGGCTCTTGCGAGATCCTGGGCGGCTTCCCGTGCTATCCCTATTTGCACAAGTCACCAAATCCCACGCAACCGGTGGCGAAACCGGCGCACCAGCACCCTAGGGTTTCATGTGAACACAAGGAGCATTTGTACACAATCAACGTGGTTTGTTGAAAGTCCAATCTCCCTCCACCTCTTTGCAACCTATCACAGTATCACCCCAGTTGAAGAACAGATCGGTTATGTGAGCAAATGAGGAGTGTCCCCATCAATGAGCTGGATGGGGTGCGAAGGTCGGGAATAGGAAATGCGTATAAAATATGGCAGCCCATGCAAAGAGTCATAAATTCTGCCAACTCAAAAAGATGAGAGAGAGAATGGCTCAAGAGAGGAGCGCTTTGTGAAGGAGGAGCGGGCCACCAGGAGCCATAGCAGATGAACAAGGGATGGGAGATCGCACAGTCCCAAGGACAAGCCAGCCTCTGTCAGCACTCACTTTCAATCTGATAATTTTAGATGGTAGGGGGCTGATGTATCAGAGAACCGGGAGTGCTGATTGTAACAAGAAGGATACAGAGGCTGTAGCCAGGTAGAAGGGCGTAAATCTCAAACCTGGAGTGACACAGGTCCATGGGATGAAGAATCCGTAATGACGGAGGCGGCGAAGGCAGCGAAAGCAACGAAAACTATATACAAGTTTATCAGCATACATAGATCTATATAGCATACCTTGAACATTCATAAGTCATCTACGAGACAATGTAGCGGCGGTAACAGCTCGAGCGACCATGTCTCAGAATGCCTTGGAATATATTTCTTGTGAGGCGACCCCGTTGTTGTCCTGAAATCCAGGAACTGGTAAGAAGAAGAGGAATAAAGGTGTAGAGTAGAGCTGCAGAGTTAGATGGGTCGAAATTTCGATCCGAAAATATCGATGGTGGTGGTAGCGGTTGTGTGATAACCTCTACACTGGACCACTACGTCTTCAGCGACTTGGCGATTTATTTTCTTCTCGTTTACTATCCCATAGCTTTCAAGACCAAAATCAATCTGAATCATTCATTTCGGAGTGATATAACAACCGTAGTGGAGATCGCAGTAATCGCAGTAATCGCAGTAGGTATCGTGGCAGTAATGGTGATAGTAAGGGGAATAGTGAGGAGGACGAGGACGAGGACGACAGGAGAGTGAAGAGACAAGAGATGAGGGGGAGATATAATTTTATAAAAGTACACATTGTTGGGGGGATTTCCGCATATGCATATCAGATATTCAAAAAAAAAATCAATCCATCGTTCGTGGAGTGGTACAAGTAGATGACCGTGACAGACAGAGGATGGAATATGGTATGTTGTAGTATGTATGTATGTATGTATATACGTACGAACGGACGTGTCGCAAGAACAGAACAGAACAGGAACAAGCAAACACGAAAATGAAAGAACAAGAAACAAGAAAAACGAAAAAACACAACAGGAAAAGAGAAAGGCAGAAGGAGAAAATACCTGGTTGTGTACATCGTCCATTTGGTATGTACTGTGTATTGAGTAAGTATGTGCGTATCATAGGGAGAAGGGGAACAAGAATAACGAGAACGAGAACAGAAACGGGAAAAGAACAAGACAAGAACAAGAACGAAGAAAAATTAATTAACCAATGGTGATATTAAGTATATGTACATGAAATAGGAATGGATGAATGGACTGATCGAGAAAAAAGGGAAGGAAAGACAAGAGGGAAAGAAGATGCAAAGGATAGGAAGGGAGCGCAAGACACAACGCACAACGAAACCGAAACACGCAGCCGAAACAAACCTCCTCTCTTCTCTTTGTCCCCCGTTTCGTCTTGTATTGTGTCATTACAATGGAGGAAGCATGGACCTGGAGGAGGGGTGGAGGACAGGAACGAAGGATAGGATCCTACAAGCATCAAGAGACTATTGCAGTCCGAATCCGAAATTCCAATTACTCGGTTCCGACACCAAACAGGCCAACATACGCACAACCACCCCAAAAACGACGAAAACGAGCACACAAGGGAATACATGCACAACCCCCGAAACTTCGATCGCCTGGCTGTAATTTCAATTTCCTTCTTAACCGCAGTACGATTGATCCATGATCGACAAGGATGCATGTGGATGCATGTGGATGCATATGGCGACTTGCAGCGGTGTTCGCAGTATCCCGAAAATCGGAGCATACGAGTAGCTGATGACTATGAAGGGGTGGCGACGAAACCAGACCAGGAGGATTGTAGGGGTTTGTTGTTTGGTGTCCGACGTATTCGAAGAGTGTATGGAGCTTGGACTGCTTGTTGAAAAGGGTCTCGTATAAATGCGCGCGCGTGGTTCCCTTTGTCTATCCCTCGCTAGTCATCCCAACAATTCCTCCTTCCTTCCTTCCTTCAATCTTTCTATCCCCTCCACAGTTTACCCACTAATACCCACCCCCGTTCCCCCGTCCCAAAACCTTGTCTCCTCGGCACAACAATCCTCAGCATCTCACCATCAAACTCTGCGCGCACACCCACGAGATCCGCATCGTACCCAAAGGATATGCGACGCTCGAAATGGCCGCCTGGGTACGGGGTGGGTGTTGGAGGTGGATTTAAGGATATCGCCGCATGAGTGGAAGAAGCATTGGAAGCAGTAGAGGTAGCGGATGAAGAGGAACCGTCAGCGGTTGAAAGGTTGGCATTAGCAGCAGGAGTCGTAGCAGGAGTAGAACTAGTCGAGTTTACACGCGAATTGGGATCTGGATCCGGCCATGAATCAGCTACGACGTGGAGGATACGACGACGTTTGGTGGCGAGGGTTCTGTAAAGCATCATTAGTATTAGGATTAGCGAAGATAGAGTAGCAGTAGTAAGAAGGAGAAAATACACTCACATTCCATCCCTCTTAAACCCTGGCAGTCTGATATTCAGCCTATACTCTCCCGGCGTAGTCTCGACCTCGATCCACGAATCCGCAGGAGGCGGCATATGCGAGAGGAAAGGCGCATAAGCAGGCGGTGTATTGATATTCGATGTGGCCATACCCAAATTTGACGGGGAACGCAATAACCCAGTAGACAGTGATGGAGCACCGAGAGCCCCAGCAGTAGACGACGTACTGTGTATAGAGGTCCGAGATGTGGGAGGTAAGACTGGGGGAAGGTCACTGGCGTTTGTTATTCTGGGGACTACTACTGGTGGAGACGTGGCTGACTGCAAAACCGAATCTAAATTTTGACTTTGTGGGGAACTGAGATTCAGGGCCACTGGCGGTGGACTAGGCGGAGGTAGAATCATCGGTGGTTCTGGAGGTGGGTAGGACGACGCCATCAATGATGGATTCGTATTTGCCGACGGACGACGACGAAGAGCAGTTGCGTGTGCTGTTGCTTCGACGAGGGCTGCTTGTCGAGATTGAAGTGTTGAGGATAAAGGACGGGAGTAGTTAGTGGCAGATGATGAATGGGAAGAAGAAGTGTGATTGAGATACGCAGCATGTATATTGGGAACATTTGGATTTGACGTCGCATTCATAGAAGGTGGAGATCGAAATAATGGGGGGTCTGCTTTGAGTTGAGCAATTGGGGGTGAGGGCGAACCAGAAGGAAGGGTTCCTTCTGAGCTCCCGCTTCCACTGGCACTTGACCGTGAGGTCCGTCCGTCTCCATCGTCTGCGTCATCTACTTCAGTTTCAAGCACGCGGCTTTTTGCAACATCACTTAAACCGTTCCCTCGGACACCTCTCAGTCTCCCTACATCTGTCTTATGTGGATCTCCCACTCTCGGAAGTGTATGAAAGGGGATTTGAGCGGGAAGAGGAAGGGACGCAGAGGACGATCTGTCGACGCGGTTCATGTTCAAGTTGGACATGGAGTTTTCGAGGCCGGGTATAGCTTCAGCGCCGCCCATAGCTCTACGTCTTGCATTCGCGCCCGCACCACACCCATCAGTCGAACTAGAATGGGGAAGCGAGTACGGGCGAGGATATGGGTGGATTTGCGAAGCGGCTGGGAGAATTCCATTCGTGTCATATAGATGTGTCTCTTCGGATGGTTCTTCTTCAAACACAGTTGTATCTCTCTCCTTCTCCTTTATAAAACTCGATGTCATCTTCCTAGGGCTCTTTGGACTTCGTGGAGGAACAACAGCATCAAAGTAGCTGAACTCCACATGGCTCTGGCTCTGGCTATGCCCGTGATGTCCACTCAACGTACTCAACGATGGCGAAGGCATTGGTACTTCTCTCGGAGAGTCGAATGACGCATGTCGTTTTGAGTATGATGGAAGTCGTGGCGGAGGCGAAGGACGACGACCTGCAACAACATAACGATGAGGAAAGCTGGGAGCGTCCATAATAAGAGAGAAACTCACCTCGAGACAGCACTGAATAGCTCTTTTCCCTTTCCCTTCCCTTTTCTTTGTACAGCATATTAGGACCACTTGATCCATTTCCATTCGTGCTCGAAGTCGTCCATGAAAGCTGAAGCGAATCTCGGTCTTTAAGTAGGATAGTAGACCCGTTACTGGGGCTAGTCATTGACGTCGAGCTACTCGAGCTCGAAGCCATCTCTTTGTGGAGCGATGTTGGGTTGTGGAACGACGACTGTTGATCAATGGTCCTTGGGTTGATCGCAAAGTCTGGTCGTAGCAAGCTGCAAGTGGTAAGCGAATGAAGGCGTAAACGAAACTTTCTGAGTCGTCGCTTGTGCTGCCTCTCTTGTCGTTGTCGTTGTCGTAGAAGTCGTAGTCGTTGTGCGTTGCAAAATTGAAATGGTGGAGTAAATGGGAGCAAGTAAATTAACTGTTGGTGTTCTAGACCCTCGGTGCCGGAGTCTACGGCAAAAAGTAATTAATTCATGACATCATATTTCTCACGCTTATTGCAACACAAAGAGTCGGAGTTGCAAAACGCGTTGGAGTGGGTTCGCCTCCAGGGACCTCGGTAATCCGTAGTTACCTGTACTTTGTAGGCTTCAATATTTCAATCTTAAAGGCTTAAAGTCAAGAAAGCTTCGAAGCAAGACCTTTCAGACTCTCTCTAGTGCCACCGAGCCTCGCCGCCAAGAAGCCAATGTACGCCAGATTATCGGAAAAATATAGACACGGAAAAACTCCCATTGAACCCCATTTCCGTTATCCTCTCACCAGCACCTCACTCCTTTACACGCCCGGCTCCTCAAATTATGTGGAGATTACTGGACACCCGACATTGAAACAGGTTACAGGCTGTTACAGGTCGAGCGCTGATTAATCGCCGATTGGAGAAACACACCTTATTACAACTGTAACTGTAAATTCTATAGCTATATCACGCCACCGATACATGCATGCTCGTCATATAATACATCGCTTACTACAGCTTACTACTTACACTCGGAACAGCTTTAACCACCAGTATCCGAGCTGTGTGGAATTGGAATTGATTACACGGCCATTCAGCCTCAGCTGAAAGCGGTCCCCGAAGGGAACTAGCCGGTCCCTACACCAGCACAGGCAGCGAGCTCGACTCTCATGGAGAAGGTAGACTGCGAGGCCGATGCAGAGATGTTAGCAAGGCCAGGTACATAAGTACAAGGCTAGCTGTTACGATTACCTATCTACAGCTCGATGGAGCACATTCTGCCCTAATGAAAAAGAGGGAGGGAGCTAGGGCAAAACCAGGTCCCCAAGCAGGCGTAACCGCACTGTGGCCTTAATGGCTCTTGCGAGATCCTGGGCGGCTTCCTGTGCTATCCCTATTTGCACAAGTTACCAAATCCCACGCAACCAGTGGCGAAACCGGCGCACCAGCACCCTAGGGTTTTATGTGAACGTAAGGAGCATTCATACGCTATCAGAATCCCCCCAACCTCTTTGTAAACAAACCGTACCCTTGTCACTCCAGTCGAAGGACAAATCGGTTATGAGCAAGCGAGGAGTGTCCCCATTAATGAGCTAAACAGGGGGTGAAGGTCTGTTATAGGGAATGCCTATAAAATATGGCAGTCCGTGCAAAGAGTTGTAAATTCTGCCAACTCGAAATAATTCCAAGAGAGTGAGTGGCTCAAGAGAGGAGAGCTTTGGGAGGGAGGAGCAGGCCACCAGGAGCCACAGCAGATGATTGAAGGGTGGGAGATCAAAATGACCCAAGGACAAGCCAGCCTCTGTTCAGTTTTAACACTCACTTTCAATCTGATAATTTCAGATGGTAGGGCTGATGTATCAGAGAACTGGGAGTGCCAACAGTAATGGGAGGGATACAGAGGCTGTAGCCAGGTAGAAGGGCGTAAATCTCAAACCTGGAGTATCACAGGTCATGGGATGAAGAATCCGTAATATCGGAGGCGGCAAAGGCAGCGAAAGCAACAAATACTATATACAAGTTCATCAGCATACATAGATCTATATAGCATACCTTGGACACTTCCTAAGTCATCTGCGAGACGATGTAGCAGCAGTAGCGACTCTAGCGACTATGTCTCAGGATGCCTTGGGACATATTTCTTGTGAGACGACCCAGTTGTTGTTCTGAGACCCGGAAACTGGTAAGAAGATAAGGAATTATAGTGTAGAGTAGAGCTGCAGAGTTGGCTGGGTTAAGTGTGTGCAGACTAAAAACCAACTAAAAACTCACAAAGTACACAAACTACTAAACTGCCCCAGAGAGGCTCGAACTCTCGACCTTCCGATGTTACTTAAATTGTGACATGCCAATAACAGTCGGACGCTGTAACCAACTCAGCCATGGGGCAGATAACGAAACACCGAATAGGTACTTTAAAGAAATACAGATCGGAAAGCCAGTTTAGAGCGACAGTGAAAGTCACAAATAGCCCAATCCGAGTCCACATGCCTGTGCTGGTGTAGGGACCGGCTAGTTCCCTTTGGGGACCGCTTTCAGCTGAGGCTGAATGGGCCGTGTAATCCATATCCATATCCATGGAATTTACCCCCGGATATCATGAGCCTTTTCATGTCTGAATCACTACGCCAGCGTCAAAAAATATCGGGCAAAATTATTGCCGAGATTATTGTTGTAATTACTTACCTTTTTCAATGCAAATTACAATGGAAAAGTGTCTTCTATTTCGTACGAAAAATACATTGTAATTGATTATCTTTTTCTTTTGGAATTTCGCTATATATATTGCTCGAAAAAGACAATGAGATTACTTATCTATTTCGCTCATGATTAATTAAGAGTTTCGCTCGAAATTTTTACAAGGTAATAACTGGCCAAGAACTGGGAGGCTCGGTCATGTGATGCATCTGACAACACTTTAGGCGGATATGAGGGCAGAACTGGAGCAATTTATTGTCTGGTGGTGACTAGTGCAGCCATGCATATACAGTATCCCATAAGTCGCGTTTTAGTCGCGTTCAAAGACAGGAAATCTTATCAGATGCATCACATGACCAAACTCCCAGTTCTTGGCCAGTTATTACCTTGTAAAAATTTCGAGCAAAATTTTTAATGAAATAGATAAGCAATTTCATTGTCTTTTTCAGACGAAATAGATAACAGATTACCAGCAAAATTCGTATCGAAAAAGACAATCAATTACAGTATATTTCTCAGCCGAAATTATCAAAGATTTACAGGTGAAATTTTGATCGAAAAAGGTAAGCAATTACAGCAATAATTTCGGAAATAATTTCGCCCGATATTTTTTGACGCTGGCGCAGTGAATCAGCAACTTGATGCCTTATTTATAACCTTGTAGTGCAACCATGCAGTAATCCCACATCTTTTGCTGTTCAGCAACATTTTTAGTCTGAGAGTGTGGTTCTGCAAGACGAGCCCAAGGGCGAAGATACTGATAGGGAATTAGTGGCTTGCAGCATTTTCCCGCGTCGACGTACCTTGCCATTGTATTGTACCGCCTCGGGTGCCGTTGCTGCAAACAGCTGCGTAAGAGCACCCCTCGGGATGGGGTACAATATAAACCAGTTCTACATTATGGGGGAAGCGTGAGCTCGAGCAAGGTAGTAGATATGAAATGATGAAGCCAACTCGCCATGAAGAGTCTTGCGAAGCCATTTGTTACATTGCGATACAGCTCCGACTTGATATTCCCGGGATCCAAAGCCATACAAATGACATTTGAGCTTTGATCTTCCTCAAGTAGTTTCGCAAGGTGGTACCCTAACATCACTGTTATGAATTTGCTTTGACTGTACAGATCTAGAGTTGCCATTTTCTTCCGGGTCTCCGTGTCGGTTAGGTTATCATAGTTGACAGGAGCTTTGGAGAAATAGTTTCCAGAGGATGCGACCCAAATGATTCGAGTTTCGGTTAAAGAGTTGGAGGTAGATTTGAGAAGAGGGAGGAGCTGGTTGATGAAAAGCAAATGACCGAGAACGTTGACACCGAATTGGAGGTCGTAACCTTGTGCACTGAGCTGTTCAACTGGCGGACCCCAAACTGCTGCATTACAAATAAGAATATGGAGAGCGGAAGCTTGGCTGAAAATAAACTCAGTTTCGGCATAGATCAACCCAGAAGTAGGATATGCTAACCTCTTGAATCTTTCCGCAGATTCCTTCACAGCATTCAAATCGCTCAATTCCAGTCCAAGGAACAACGCTGCTTTTCCAGTTTCCTTCTTCAGCTCATTGATTGCTTCCTCGGCTTTGGATCTGGAACGGGCAGACAACCAAACAGTCCCTCCTTTCAGCAAAAGCTGCTTGCATGTCTCTTTGCCAATTCCGACATTCCCACCTGTTGTGTACACGGAGCATCAATAATTGAATTGAAGGGAAAAGAGTCAGTGACTATCGCGACCTTTCCGGTCAAGTCAGGAATGTCATCCACAGACCACTTTGGCGAGGGAGGAAACATCCCAGATAACACGTTCCCTAGATGAAGTTCAGTCATATTTGTTAGGGAGTTGCACGTTTAATGGTTGTAGGCATGTAGGCTTTATACTTATGACTCCTCCGCCGTGCCGCTTCTGAGATCTTGTTGAAAGACTTTGCTATCAAGTAACGATGATCACACCGATATTTGTTGGATAATAAAATAGAACACAATATTACCACTCAGGATAATATATAGCACAACGGCAGAATAGAGTGAAAAGCACAATATATTCTGTTTGCCCCCTACAGCACTGAGAGAGGGGGGCAATCAGATGAGGTAGAGTATATCTAGCTACTGCTTATATACTGGTAATGGGGGTGATAGGAAAGTATGTGTAAGTACGTGTCAATAATGAGTGTGAGATAACTATGAGCTTGATCAATCATAACAATGATACTGATATCTGCTGATATCCAACAATATTGTCATCGCCATTTCTGAGCTCTTATACTCGAGTACCTGAGTTCAAATGCCAATCTCCATTCCTATGGAATATTGAATGGAAGGTGCGCCAGTTTGGGCGTCCGGACTCATCAAAAGAGGTTAGATCCACTCGAGTAAACAGAGAGTGTAACAATTCAATATAGTGATAGCCTGGCCAATATTTGTACAAAAATCTGGCCCAGGACTATGTACTAAAAGCAAGGGGTGAGAACTAGGACAAAGCGAGCTGAACGGATGGAGATTTCAAGCGCTTGTAAGTTGTGGGCCCACAGCTCATCATCACGCTAGGCTGGACGAGGGTACAAATTTATGTGTCGAGTCGGTATGATAACATATTCTCTAAGATGTGTTCAGAATCCATTCGAAAAGAGAGTTAAGATGATTGAGGAAGTCCGGTTCCAAGGGCAGAAATCATTTGGAAAACAAATAGAATGACGCAAACGATACACGTACCACGGAAAATGCAAGTCAAGTTCAGCCCTGCTTGAAGATAAAAGCCTACAAAACGTCAGTTAGAGATACTTTCGCTTGGCTAAGAGCAACTCGCCTCTATGCAGTGTTCCTCGTCAGCTCAAACATGTACCAGTTTTCCGGGGGCAGTAGAAGGCTCTGTAGGACAAGTGCTCTGGGGATCAGAATTTGCAGGAGACCGGAGAGGGGCCCATATTCTTGCGAACGGGGGTGGAACTTGGAAAATGGAAGGTGAGGAGGTGGTTGCATCGGAGATAACGATGACCGAGAAGAGACGGTCGGTAAGACAGACGGTGACATACATAAAATGGTTCACTGTATAAGGAAATATCACCAGTCCTCATGAACACAAATGCAATGCACAAGCTTGAGTAACTTGTGGGATATAAACCTATGACCAGAACAGTAGTTCCCTAGAATCCGGTAACTCGAGTCTAAGTTCAGTCCAACAACAGAATTTAGAATTGATATTATGTCTCTACTCCTTCTCCCTCTGATCATGAACTAATGATCTGCAACAATTCTTCCCAGTGGCCTCACCAACTGGAGGAATTGAACTCTCGACGAAAGTATTGGAAATGATGGGGAAGCAGACGCGAGAAATTCCACTACGTGGATTCGGATAATAGCCGCTGTAGATCAATCGTCCTTCTGGCTGCTCCGCCTTTCTTGAGTCCGGGTAACCTAGAGTCATACGCGCATCTTCAGCTATAGTGATGTATCTGTTCCAGTCCTAGTCTCTTGAGCTCCAGCATATTTTTCATTCATTAGGTGAGGACCTAAGCTGGCAAGAGTTACAGCTCTGTATGTAAAGGTAGTCAGTTGGAATGCAGAGCCAGCCGTTGACTTGAAAAAAAGCAGATAGAGGAATTTTGGATGGCAAAGCACACAGCAAAAGGCCTCAGGGCACACAGGTCAGGAATTTGGGAAGCGAAGAAAATCCAATAAATTAGTGCAGAGCTATCTTGTAAAGGGGGACTCAACCATTTTGGACGAAGGCAGACTTTCGGCCTCGGGCCGGAGGCTTTGGTTCTGACTCTCGCCTCAACCATCTTCCTATTCTATGTCTTCCGGCTCTCCACACAAATGCCAACTTCGTCTGCACTTGAGATATTTTGTGATTCATTATAACTTATCTGTGTTCTTGTGCTGATTCGCCTACAATTACCACCCATAATGAAATGCCTTCAAATCCTTCGTGTCTGAATCCCAATTCCACCCTGGTTCCACCTCTCGTCCTCTTCTACATCAACATCTCCGTCGATCCAAACATGGGCAAGCCCAGCGCAACCAGTCCTCACCCACGCATTTGAACGTCGCACACGATATGACCAGATCACGTTCAATGATCATTTGCGTCTAACCCAACATAGGAAGAAACCGTCGGCCTGAAGGTACGAAACAGTGGTACAATAGTCTTGGCTGCTGTCAATCGTCTTGTATCGAACACAGTTTTACAAACACCACCTTTGGGGCATTTCCGAAACAATCAACGGTTTGCTGTTTGTCCAACTTCACACCGACCCCGAATCACAACTGTTTCGGTCCATGCTAAGTGTATTGATTCAATTGTCTTCTTGTGCACATTTTCGAACGGGAGGCACTAGTGTCCGCTAGTACATCCCGTGTGCACAACCCGCCTCGTTTTCAAAAGTGTTCAGTTCGATGATCCAGCGTTTGTGTAACTCATGCCAGGTATTCCGATCACCTGGCCACGGAATCATACGCTATGTTAGCTCTCGTGTGTGCTCACTGCATTATTCGCAGTCATTTACCGTCCTACGCTATGATCGACTCGTATGTTGAGCTACGGACATCCCGAAATACACACAACACATGCATTCGGTGTGTGTCCACTGCTGTATCAACTTATGAATGCGAATTTCTTCATCTTTAAGTTACTGTCCCCAAGTAAATCTCACCAAGTCGAACAGGAACCCGCTCAAACACTATTTCCGTCGTCGTAAGCCTTGG